GGGAAGGCTGTTTCCTCATGAAGATGGTGAACATATATCACATAAGTAGAGCAAAAATTTAATTTTAAAAAAATCTTTACACGCGTGCAATGCGCGAAATCATATGAGGTCGTTCGGCCATATGACGTCGGTAGATTACATCAGATCACGCAGGAGGGAAGGCTGTCACCTTATAAAGGTTGTGACCAAAAATTATGCAAATAGAAGAACAATTTATATTTTAAATTTAATTGAAAACAAATCTTTACACGCGTGGAATGCGCGACATCATATGATGTCGTTCTTAAATTTGTCCTTACTTTTAACGTCATATGACGTCCCTAGATTACATTAGATCATGCAGGAACGAAGGCTGTCTCCTTATAAAGGTGGTGACCAAAAATCATGTAAATAGAACAACAATTTATATTTTTAATATAGTATTAAAGAAAACCTTACACGCGTGGAATCCGCGACATCATATGATGACGTTCGGCCAGCTGCCCTAACTTTTAACAACATCATATGATGACGTTCGTCCGATAAAGGTTAACACAAGGTCATCTGCATATTTCACAGTCTGACCAGTTTGCCCTCCTAATTTGAAGTCTCCAAACTCATCCAGAGCTTCCTTGGTAAGGCATTCCCTGTACAAGTTGAACAAAATTGGTGATAAACAGCATCCTTGTTGAACTCCTCTTCCAATCTTCACACTTCTTGTCTCCCTTCTGTCCAGTCGCACTCTTAACTTTCTGATCCATGTACAATTTACTAATCAATCTTCTTTCCCGCCAATTGATACCTGTTTCCTTTAGGATCAAAGAATTACACTCTTAACAAACTGAGGACTGTGTAAACTGGAAGAAATTTATTGAATATATGACCCCTCAAGCATGTTATGCAATTACATTAATGTTTCACGTTCAAAATTTTGACACACACATGAAACAATTTATTTTGTTTACTCTATTATGAATGAAGTAACGATTTTGAGTGGGTAATTTGCCAAACAGTAAAGAATATTTGCTTTACAAATGAAAATCATTAAAATTATGTTTGGTGCCAACTCTTCTAATATTTGAGGTTGAAGCATATTGAAGAGACCAGAAACTTACCTCTTCTACATGAATATATATATTTTCATTAGTGAACTTCCATCGTGAATAACCTGGAGCATTTTTAAACAAATTCACTGAAACAGCGATAAAACAAAAACTAAGAGTTGCCTTCCTGGGCACTCTCACTTCTAGGAAAGTTCATTTTATGCTGATACAATTTTTTAATAATTTAATTTATAGTCTTCCAGGCAGAAGTGTATGCCATTAAGGTATGCACAGTTAAGAATCTAAATAGGATCTATAAAAATAAACACCTACATTCTATAAGACAGTCAAGCTGCAATGAAAGCACTTTGTGAATACCAGATCACCTCAAACCTGGTCTGGGACTACCATCAATCCCTCATATAATTGGCCGAATATAACAGAGTTCAACAGATATGGGTGCCATGTCATGAGGATGTTGTTGGTAATGAAATGGCAGATCAGTTGGCAAGAACAGGAACTGAACATCCGTTCATAGGGCCTGAACCAGTTTGCTGCATCTCAACTGAAGTTGCCAAGAAAGTGGGCAGGGACTGGACGAACAGAAATAACAAAAAACACTGGGAATCCATAAGTGGACTCAGACAAGGAAAGGGGCTTATACTAAGGCCCTCTGCCAGAAGAACGAAGGATCTGTTGAAATTAAACAGAGACCAATTAAGATGGGTGGAAGGACAGGTGGACATGGCATGTAGCATGAATTGGGAAGAAGATGAATGCATATGGGATATTGGTGGGAAAGCCAGAAGGACATAGATGACTGGGAAGACCATGGCATAGTTTGATGGCCCAGGATGGGGACCAGTGGAGGTCTCTTGTGAACACAGTAATGAACTTTTGGATTCCATAAAATGCTGGGAAATTCTTGAGTAGCTGCAAATTTGGCTTCTCCTCAAGAAGGGCTCAGCTCCATAAGTAAGTAATTAAGGTAGGACCATTTACAGGACATTGTCACATAAAAGGACACCTTTTCATACAGGGATTGACAGATGACCCCACTTATGAAAGGTGCCTAGAAGAAGATGAATCAGCCACACATATCCTATGTGATTGTGAGGCCATAGCTTTTGTCACATGGGCCAGTTCTTTATGGATCCAAGTGACTACTATGATGCCCACATGAAAAAGTCCTACATTTCGTTCAAAGTGTAGGATTAATAAAGGGTTAATCAAAAGGGGAAGCACAACAGATCATTGATGGTCATGGTGCAAGAGCTGGATTATTATGGCCCAACCCTCATTCATTCATTCATTCAAGTTAATAGACTCATGGGCATTATTAACAAAAATGTACTACATGACATTGCATTAAAGAAATGTTTAAATATACATGTTTTAATTCTACTGGTGAATATGTTTAGAAATAATTTATAATCTATAGTAGGGCCTCTCTTCTATACAGTTATTTCATAATCATATAACATTCTTGCACTTGTACATTTGATCTTTATATACTTTATGACTTGCTCCATATCATGGTCATCTGTAGACTGTACGTATACATATACCTACTGGCTTGCTATAATTGCCACAGATATTTGGGCAAAGATCATAATTACTGTCTGCAATATTGTCTTATTTCCTGTATAGAGCCATCAGCAGCCATTTTACTATCCTCAGTTTTGGCAGGGCTTCATTTTAATTTTGACAATTCTGCGCCTACAAGACAGCTGGACATGAAATATTGGAGTTAGTAACGGCCTGTTCAGACTTCTAGCAAAAAATTTCACTTTTGTCGGCAGGTCAAGTACAAGTGATAATATCCACAATGAACCATATTGATAAGTAATCACCAAGAGTGATGAAAAATGGACAATAATTGTGAAATGAAATGAGGTATACTTATTTCGCACTCACATCTTCATCGGAGCCAAACAAATCAACATCATCATCATCACCACCATCATCAACCTTATCATTTGCCGCTGCCTCATCATCAAACGCCATTAATGGTGTTTTCTTCTCACCAGGGAACTTCTTGCGTTCATCACCAAATGAGTTTATATGATTATACCAACGCAGAAGATGAGGTGTGGCAGCAGTAGGTGATTTTGCTAATGACTCAAAAACACTGACATCAGCCTGAGTTGCCTGGAACCTGCGGAACCAAAGAGACAACAATCACTAGAAATAACTCAGTATGGCGTTTTGGGCTACAGGAGTAACACTTTAGCCCAGTCACTCCTGATGTCAAAACAATACAAACAAAAATACGTGCACAGAGCTATATATAAACTGAAGAAGGGTTACCAACTTAGAACTAACATAGTAAAGGATGAGGATGGCGATCTGCTGGCAAATCCCAAAATATTCTGAATAGTTTACTGAATGCTCATCATGTCACCAATGTTAGGCAGGCCAACAGTAGATGGATCTAGTCCTCTCTAGGCTGAGATTTTTATTCAAGAGTTGAAAGGGCATAAACTGCCAGGTACTAATCAAATTCAAGAAGAGATGATCCATGCAAGAAGTGAAGCCTTATGTTCCACGATCCACGAACTTAATTATATGTGAAATATGAAAGAACTGCCATAACAGTGGAAGAAATATATTACTATACCTACTTATATGAAGAAATAAAACTGAGTAATTATTGAGACATATCACTGTTATCAACTTCATATAAAACTGTATCCAGTATTTTCTTCTCAATTGTGACTCCTTACATATACACAGATGAATCATCAGTGGGAACTCTGACATAGTAAATAAACTGCTGGTCAGACATTTCTGCACTTGTCACATAATGGGGAAAAAATGCAAGTATTTTACAATAGGACAAAACATACATCAGCTGTTTACAGTCTTCAAGCAAGCCTATGATTAAGTTACAAAAGAAGCACAGGTACCCCTTGAGTTATGTGACAACTGTATTTTAAAACAGTCCCAACGGGTGAAATAATTCTGTATTCCAGCATCCTGTTGCAATTGTTTAACTTAACATCCATGTATGATGGGGTACCCAAAAGAAACTGAACTAATTTTTTTGTGGGCAGAGCTTTTGTAGTACCGCATTTTGCTGCTATGAGCGCATAGAGCTAACATTCTTGAGTCGATAAGCCGACTACTGTTGCTTCAGAAGGTAAAGACTAGTTTCGGCAGAGTTTATAGTGACAACTGTTTTGTGTGATCGTCGTTTTTGCAATGGCTGATTTTTGTGAACAGTGTGCGGCGGTGAAATTCTGCTTTTTGCTCGGGAAAAGTGGAACAGAAACTCTTGAAGTGTTAAAAACGGTGTACAAAGACAATGCTATGGGGAAAACTCAAGTGTTTGAGTGATTTTCCCGTTTAAAAAATGGTGAAATGTCAATTGATGACAAAACTCGTTCTGGTCGTCCTTCCACGGCCCGAACACATGAAAATGTTGAAAAATTCGTGAAATCATCAAGGAAGATCGACAACGGATCATTGAAGAAATTGTGGAGCTGTTGGGAGTGACTTGGAGCTCAGTTCAGCGAATTTTGACAGAAGATTTGGGAATGAAAAGGGTGGCTGCGAAATTCGTGCATGACTGCTGAACAAAAAGAAGGTCGCATGGAAGCATGCTGTGCTTTGAAAGAAGAGTCCTGAAATGATCAAAACTTTTTTTTTGTTTCCTCGAATGAAAAGAGACATGAAAGGAAAGCGTTTTGCTGATGTTGCTGAGGTGAAGGAAAAAACGACGGAGGCGCTGTCAAGCATCTCAAAAGATGAATTTAGACAATGTTTTGAAAAATGGAATAAAAGACTAGACAAGTGTATTAGTGTAAGTGGAGAGTACTTTGAAGGGGATTGAAGGTTTGTGCTTAAAATTTGAATAAATAAGTTAAAAAAAATAAGTTCGGTTTCTTTTGGGTACCCCCTCGTATTTATCATCCGTCAATATTGCAACACTTGTTGCAAGGTTTTACCTTGAAGAGAGAACTACAGTGTGTGATTTTAACACGGACTAAGACAGTGTAGCAGTTTTAACATAATTTAATAAAATATTTGTAACATATCAAGACATTTGAAGATGGTCGTTTTGGGCCGAAACATGTAGTGTCAAAGTGTATAAAGTTAAACTAAAATTAAAATTAAGTAGTGAATAAACAAGTGTTACAATATTGACGGACAATAAATACTGTACATGGACGTTAAGGGTAAAATAATATAAATGTAACATTATTTTCCCACAAGAATCAATGGAAATATTTGAGACTGCTACAAAAGTATCAGAACATTTTTGCTGTCACTTGCTGATTGTATTATGCAGTAGAGTGCATCCTTTTTAATATTTTAATAATATTTATGTCATTTCACTATGAATAAATTTTGTTTATAATTAATTACAAACAAAAAAGAACTCTGTGGCCTGTAGTCTGCAAGCAAACTATACCGACCGAGCGACTGCTGCTTGTCGACAAAGTTGGTGCAACTTCTTACTTCCAAAAGACAATGCAAGAAACTGCTACAAAAATGAAAGGCATAATGCCCTTGAAATGAGCATAGAAAACCTGAGCTACTGAGTCAAAATCACCTGACCAGTTGTCCCAAGATAAACAGAGACACATCGTCTTTCACTTTCTTTCGAACATTAAGAAGCATTACAAGATGTGTTTTAAACATTATTACACAGTCATTAGGTGACAGAAACTATAAGAAACAACAGAACTTAATTAACATCCACAGATCTCACAACATATGGTTTGCTAAATAGAAAGATGAGAGATGTGATGGATAAACCATTGGGTTATATAGTGAGATGGTTGAATATGACGATGAAGCAGGTGCTTAGGGCGATCAAGAAGGGGACTGAACTGATGTGTCCATTGAAGTTAATGATAAAATTTTACTAGTGGTACTTGATGGATCTGCTGGCTCTAACTTGTTTAAAAAAATCATCCATCTTCAGTTGCTTAACAGCCTCTGATTTCTCATGAAAGAGCAGTTGGGAAGAAGAGTTTCTTCTCTTCCCCTTGCAATCCACCACTGCCCGTCACACAACAACCTACTGCTAGTCCCTGCCACTCTTGATGAGGCAGCAAGCAATCCACATTAATGCAAACACTACTGAAACGTATCTGAATCAGTTGCTCGCATTAAAATGAAATCACATTTTTTTGAACTCCTATGTAACAATACCTATAATGTACAATACTTTCATTGAATTCAGAGTACCCATAAAGCTAGTTACAGTAAGTCAAATGTGGTAAATGTAACCAAGTCAAGTATGTATAAAATACATCTGATGCATTTCCCATTGAGAATGGTCTCAAACATGAGGGTGCCTTACTGCCACTGTATTTTAGCCTTCCATTAAACCGAGAAAGGATCAAAATGAAATTGGAAACATCAAATTCTGTCTATGCTGATTATATTTACTTCCTGGGCAAAACCATAAACCTCATAAAGAAAAATAAATTTGAGGTTAGATGCAGAACTGAAATATGTGTTCACGTCTCATCATAACAATGCAGGATAAAATCAAAACACCAATGTTCAAATATTTGGAAATGGCAATAACAAGTGAAAACTGAACTCACATATAAATAAAGAGGAGATTAAGTAGAGTGAATGCTGGTTACCACTCGGCTCAGAGTTTTCAGCCTTCCCATCTGCAATCTAGAAATCTAAAGTTGAAAATACATAAAACAATGAAGGGATGGTGTTATGCAAGAAAGGACCATCTCCAAAATACTCTTTTTCAATTGCAGCAATGTTTAGAAAAACATGAAATAAAGAACTATATTATGCACCCATCTTACAATTAAGAACTGCAATCTGCAGCACATAACATATATTTTCAAAATCTTAGCAGCTGATTATTATGTTCAAAGTGTACTGCATTAACCTGGCTCAGTGGTAAACATTTAGGTTCCATAAAATGTCAACTACTTCCTGGCTAGGTGAATGAGCATTAGCTTCTCAAGGACTTCCTCCATGGACTTGGTGACAGAAATCTCTCTATGTCCTAAAAGCTATCGTTATTGAGTTTCAAGAACATAAATTATACATTACCATAGAGAAACACTAAGAGGTTTCCTTTCCTAAAATTCTGCATGGTAACAGTTAAATGCTACAGTGGATTACTACAGCTAACCATAAATTCTCTTACTTACTTACTTACTTACTTACTCATGGAGCTGAGCCCTTCTGGAGGAGCCGCCAATTATGCAGCTACTCCAGAATTTCCCAGCATTTTATGGAACCCGAAGGTTCATTACCGTGTTAAATTCTCTACAAGATAAAAATTCATTCACTGTCTGTGGTATACTAACATGCATACCATTCTGGAACCTGGTTACATTCTAACATTTATGTGACTCATTTCCATTACATCACTACCAATCAAATGTGTTGAGACGATGCAAGCAGTATAAATAAATAACGTCAGTTTAATTTACCAGTTTAATCACAGTAATAATTATTGAGAAAATCACAAAAGAACGAGACAGGGCAATGTCCCTTTTTATCACAAGAAGGTTGAACACACAAACTCTCAGGCAGCGTCACGACTCTCACTGCTATCACTAATTCACAGCGCCCTTCTTTTTGGAAGACTGTCACAACAAATACAAGGAATGGAAAAGAGTGCCCTCTACACAATATGGAGATACAAGGCGCCAACATTCAAACTATAACAAGATTAATACAAAAGTGATTTTTGATTGTTACTAATACCATTACAAAATGTTACTAGTTATCATCTTCTTCCCTAATTACAACAGGAAACTATCAATACACATGAAATCACACTTTCACAGTCCTAATACAGCAATAACAAACTCTGCCTGTGTATAAGATTAGCAGGGGAGAAAACACTTCCAACCCAACATAACATCAGCACTACTAGCCGAGTGAAATCATAATGTTGGTAACCTGCAAAGTGATCATGTAAGAGCATACAGACATTAATGAGGAAAACATAGTATGTTTTCAACGGGCTTTACAAAATGAAAATTGGATAGAAGTTTATAACCAAGAGAATGTTAATATGAAATTTAATATCTTTCACAATATCCTTTTATCAATCTTAGAAAATAGCTTTCCCATAGTATATAAAAAAAAAAAGACTCTAATAAATGGATAACGAAAGGCGTAAGAATATCTTGTAAGCATAAGAGAGCATTATACACC